CGCTCCTCATCACGATGATCTTGACGCCTGTGTGTGTCACGTGGGTCGTGTCGCTCCTCATCACGATGATGACGCCTGTGTGTGTCACGTGGGTCGTGTCGCTCCACGTCACGATAATCGTGACGCATGTGCGTTTCACGCGGGTCATGTCGCTCATCACGATGATCGTGACGTTCATGTTCACGTGTTCCATAACGTCCTCTTTGTCTTTGTTCATCTTGTCTTCTGCGATTTTGTTCGTACTTTTCACGTTCTAGCTGTTCTCGTCTTCTACGCTCCTCTTCCATGCGCTCTTGCTCCTTTCTCTCTTGTTCTCTGAACTGTTGTTCAACCCGTTCATGTTCCAGTCTTTCTTGCTCTAGTCGTTCATGCTCCAATCTTTCTTGCTCTAGTCGTTCATGCTCCAATCTTTCTTGCTCTCGTCGTTCAAGTTCCAATCTTTCTTCTTGTTCTCGTCGTTCAAGTTCCAGTCTTTCTTGTTCTCTACGTTCCCATTCACGCCTTTCTTGTTCTTTTCTTTCGCATTCCTTACGTTCTTGTTCTCTGCGTTCATGCTCCAATCTTTCTTGCTCTTGTCGTTCAAGTTCCAGTCTTTCTTGTTCTCTACGTTCCCATTCACGCCTTTCTTGTTCTTTTCTTTCGCGTTCCTTACGTTCTTGTTCTCTGCGTTCATGCTCCAATCTTTCTTGCTCTTGTCGTTTAAGTTCCAGTCTTTCTTGTTCTCTACGTTCCCATTCACGCCTTTCTTGTTCTTTTCTTTCGCGTTCCCTTTGTTCTAACTCTTTACGTCTTTGCTCTTGTCGTTCATGCTCCAATCTTTCTTGCTCTCGTCGTGCAAGTTCCAATCTTTCTTGTTCTCTACGTTCCCATTCACGTCTTTCTTGTTCTTTTCTTTCGCGTTCCCTTTGTTCTAACTCTTTACGTCTTTGCTCTTGTCGTTCATGCTCCAATCTTTCTTGCTCTCGTCGATCAAGTTCCATTCTTTCTTGTTCTCTACGTTCCCATTCACGCCTTTCTTGTTCTTTTCTTTCGCGTTCCTTACGTTCTTGTTCTCTGCGTTCATGTTCTAGTCTTTCTTGCTCTCGTCGTGCAAGTTCCATTCTTTCTTGTTCTCTACGTTCCCATTCACGCCTTTCTTGTTCTTTTCTTTCGCGTTCCTTACGTTCTTGTTCTCTGCGTTCGTGTTCTAGTCTTTCTTGCTCTCGTCTTTCATACTCCAGTCTTGCTTGTTCTCTACGTTCCCATTCACGCTTTTCTTCAAGTTCCTCTTCCATTTGCTGCTGCTTCAGTCGTTCTCGGTGAAGATGTTCTTGCCTTAAACGTTCATTTTCACTACGTTCTTGTTCTCTTCTATCGATTTCGTATTGCCTTTGGTTAGGTCTGTTCCTCTGGTTTGCATAATACCTTGGGTCATCTTTTCTGGCGTAGTCTTCTGTTCTGTTAGCATTATAATCATACAGGTATTCTAGATTTCCGCCAGCATTTTCTAATCCTTCAGCGTGTTCTTGTCTTAATCTTCCTTCTCCGTCATTTACCATATCTTTAGTTCCTAACGATTGGCGCATCTGAAGGTTTGTCAGATGTTTAGCTTCCTCACGTTGTTTTCTGTTCTTCTCTTCGACCTCTTTTCTGAGCTTTTCCCGATATTCAGGGTTTTGGATGTTTCTTTTCAATCTTTCGTCCTCACTTAACTCTAAAGCTTTGAAAATATCTTCGTCGAAACCTCTACTTTTTTCCACAACGGTGACAGTTTCCACGACAACTGTTTCGTTTTTCTTGGCTGGGATGAGTTGTTTTTCAGTGTGCGGATGACTTTTCGCTGCATCCTTTTTGTTCTGATCTTCGTCGAAATTAAATACTTTTGCCCCTGATAAGGACGGTGATATCAATACATTTGCCGGGTGTTGTTGCCTCGTCTGATCTGGTATAGCTCTGGGTTCCTCTTTATTGTCAAGTTGAGGGACTTCTTCTTTCGGATGCTTTTGAGAAACTACGACTGGTTCAGGAACCTCAGCTACCAAGGGTCGAACTTGTCTACCTTGTCCAACGATAGCAAACATTTGTGGTCGTTTCGATTTTGTAACGACAGGTTCTACTTCTCTTTCATGTGTCTCCGCTTTCCGTGGCTTTTGTATGTCAGGTTGCATGGCAACGTGTTTTTCTGCTTGTAATTCCTTAACTTGAAACGCTTCCGTCGGCTCTTCAACTGGTTGTGTTTGTTTGTGGCTACTCAAATCTTCCCACAGTTTCTGTTGAGCCTTGAAGTCCTGCGTACTTTCAACAATATTGGACGTTTCTGTAGTGGCAACAATTTCGTATGCTTGATCCCCTGGAATAGGCTTTTGGACAGGTTTTTGGTCTTTCGTCTTGTCATGAAGTTTTGCACTTACGATCAAAGGCTTTCCAGCTTGAACTACCTCTGTAGCAACACCTTTACGATACTGGTCGTCTGTGTCTTGTTGGTAGTACGTGGGGTACGAAGTTGGCATTGGTTCTTCATCATATTTTTCGGGTTGAGACTGTGGATACTTTTCTTGTGGTACAAAATCGTCTAGCGTCTTAGACTGGAAATAATGGTGATAGGTATCTTCAGGCTTGGGTGGCTCGTGGTAGGAGGGTTGACTTGAAGGTTTGTCAGCTAATCAAAGAATAAAAATAAACTGTTTACAAACTGACTCCTTTTCTAAAGAACTAATAACATAACAGACTCACCTTGATCTGCTTTGTATTTTGGTAAGTAATCAGCTGGTCTTTTGAGTTTGTATATATCGGCTTCTCCTTTGACTTTTTGTTGTTCTTTTGAATCGTACGGTTTAGCAGATGGACGATTGTCTAACAGTTCCATTGATTTCTTGCGTCGTGAGCTTTCAAATTCATTCCAGCTGCGAGTACCAATAGTACGTGCGTGAGTGGAGGTCGTAGGTCCGTACCTACGGTCTTCCCCGGAAGAGGACTGATCTTCATGTTGTGGTGCTTCAGGCTCTGAGTGTTGAAACATTGATATAGTGGGTCGCATATCTTGTTCATGAGTCTGACCATACGGAATGGGGTCGGCATCATGAAGGGGTTCAACTGAACGTTGAGGATACTCAGTTGATGCAGGCTGAGGTTGGTGCCATTCTCTGCTGCTTTCCACTTGTGGTATTTTTCTGACTTCTATTTCATCATGAAGGGGTTCAACTGAACGTGGAGGCTGTGGTTGGTGCCATTCTCTGCTGCTTTCCACTTGTGGTTTTTTCCTGACTTCAATTTCTGGGTCAACTGACCCGTTGTAAGACTGGTATTGGTTAGAGGAAGCAGCACTTGTGCCTGGGTATTTGCGGCTTTGCATCTCGTCATCTGCTATCACAAAATTTAAAAAATTAGTAGATTATTACACCCAAGACGCATACTAGGGTTAATTCACCGTCCCCTTAAACTAAAGCCAATGGGAACACTAGTTAACCCATATCCACTGACTTACATTGCTCAGGTTCTTGTTCTTGTTCCCACGGTGAGCTCTTTGTCTTATCCCCTTCTTCGTACTCATAGTCAGACCATCTTCGCACTCTTCGTCTATAAGCACCTTCAAATTCTTCATCGTCAAGTCCCAGAGGCCCTCCATACCAACTACGAGCTCGAGACTCTCTTTCATAGCGTACGAGTTCGTCCCTGTCCACTAGTGATTTGGGCTGCGGTGGACCACCTTCTTTAGGCTTGAGCTGTTCTGCCTCCAACTCCATGAACCTTTTTGTCAAATCTTTGACTTTCTTTGCTTTTGCCTTTTCTGATTCACTGGTGGAACCTTCCTTTGGAGGAGGCACAACAAAGTCCCGGTAAGACATGGACACCTTAGGAGCAGGTTTGTTTGGATCTTGAGCGGCGGCTTGCTGTGCAAAGTTACTATAAGGACCAATACCACTGATTTTCCTAGGTCCAGAAGACTCAACGACAGAAGCATTTGACATTATCACATGATCCTTCACAACACTCTTTGGCGGGGCAGCAAAGTCTTTGTATCTCATGTTCTTCACATCAGGAACATAATTAGAATTCTCAACAACAGTAAATGACGTATCAACTGGTTGTGATCGCTTCTTGTGATCGGTATCTTCATCTTCTGGCTCTCGATCCCAAAGCTTTTGGATTGGTCGCTTGGATAGATCTTCAGTAGGCTCTTCAACAGGCCTAACTTTGATCCACTCATCACTGCCAAGAGACTTTTTCCTCGGTCTACCAGTCGACTGATCGCTGCTTATGTCTTTTTTTCCTGGTTCCTTGGAAAGTTGTTCAACGGCAGCATTATATCGTTCTACGCGATCTCTCTGCTTGGTAACAGGGTAAGAGATAAACTCCTTATATTTCAGAGCGGGGCGCTTTGCTCCTCCTTTGTTGGGTTCTTCAGGTTGTTGAGCAAAGGACGAATACAGCGTTGTCTTGTTCTTCGACAGTTTTTTGATTGAGTCCTCGGGCCTTTTCGTTAAGGAGTTGTATCGTAAAGAATCTTCTCTGGGAGGAGCTGGAGGGTTTGGGGAGACAGGTTTTGGGGCCGCTTCATAGTCATTCTGCATAAAGACTTCATTTTGATTGGGTGAACTTTCCACAAAGTTCATGTCACGTGCCTGGATCCCTTCCCCTTCTACATCACGCATGACAACATCACCACTTCTCTCTGGCTCATAAGAATGAGTAGAGCGCTGATAATCAAACACGTTTGACATGGGTCTGGGCTCAGATCGCTTTGGTCGCTGGGTAGCATCATCAAATGACTTGCCACTATGTAGCTTTAGAATAGAGCTTTCCTAAATACCAAGAAAGACATCAGGGTTGAAACCTGGTAGGTTGAACTAGATGAAAAATTAAATTGCACTTAGCTAGCTTACCCTCTGGGCCTTGTAATCCAAACTTTCAAACTGTCTTTTCTTTTCGCGCAGTTTTACATCGGCTGTTCCAGGTAATGGGATTGGTCCACTAACTTTATCTCCAATGTCATACTCAAAGTCAGTCTCATTTTCACGGTGTTTTCCTTCTAACACCATAGTTTGCTTAAGAAAAATACAACATATTGAGTTAGCTACACTTCAGTACACAAGTCTCGAGGAATTCGCCCGTCAAATATGAGAAGGCTGCAAAACCCACAACATAATATAGTACCGATCATAGTCACTGATGTAACAGTCAGTCAGCCAGTCAGTCAGTAACGTATATATTGCTTTACTTTATCGATCACTGTTAGTTAATACCTGATGAGCTGTCTTGTCTAGCTTCTCGTATTTACTGTGTTTATCCTTTATATTAACCGTAGCAGCACTAAGCACAGGTGCTCTGTTCTGTCGTTTATCGTCGTTATCTACTGCAGGCATGCGCAGTTCACCGTGTAGTACGGCACTTTCCTATGAATGAGGGTACGTATCCAAGAGAACAATGAATGCATGCATCAAAGATAGACAGAAAAACAGTCAAACAGAGATGATTTCGAATGGGTTGACGTGAATCAGTAGCATACTAACATAACTCGTACCTTGTCAGCTTGCCTTTGGAGGCTTTCAAATTTATTGGCTTTATCCACAAGAGATCCTCCTCGAGTTAGCGAATCTCCACCACCCCAAGATTTTGGACGAGAACGTTTGCCTTGAATAACTTCAGATTCCTAAAACAAAAATCGGTCAATGATAATCAGTTGATACTCTCCTCTAGACTTGCCCCAACTCGACCTCTCTTGTTTCCCGGTTTGTTTTTTTTTTGTAGATTCGAGCGTAGCGAGCGACGAAGTCGCGAGTAAAGAAAAAACAAAGCGGGCGGCGGACTTTGCGAAAGTCTAACTCTCCTCCAACAGTTTCGTTACTGATAATCATTTATGTCCTAAGTCAACAAACCTCAGATGTTTGGCGATTCATCTGCTCGAAGCGTGACAATTTGTCACGCATGTCACCAGGAGATCTCATATTCAAGCCAGCAATTCTTTTTTCTTTCGGGGGACTTTCTCCACCTTGAACAATCCGGTCACGCCTGTTCTTGATTGGGTCCTGGTCCATAGATAATAATAACAATAACAGATCAGTCGTCAGTACTCGTTCTCAGTATGATACTCAGTTCGTTTGTTAGTGTTTACTGTACCTTCCAGCCACCAAGAATCTCCTTCTTATGCTTGTATCTACTGTCGCCTTCCTTCCACACCGGTTTACTACCAATACTTTTTCGTCTTCTATCTTTTTCTTCCTCGATGAATTGATTTTCTTTGTCAGACGCTGAGAAAGATCTACGACGTTGCCTCTCGACCTCTTCTTGAACCTAAAAAATGATGGTTAAAACTGGGAGACTAAATCAACTGTACCCGGAAGTAAATTTAGTTGATAATTGAATGATTAAATCTAATTGATGAATTCTGTTTCCGGTTCTTACCCTCTTAGACTCTTCTTCGAGCTGTTTGAAGGTTTGTATGTTAGTGCTGTAGTCAATAGCCTCTGTAACGATTTCGTGTTTGTCTTTAATTGATTCGCTGGGCTCTGATTGTTTAGTTTCAATGGGTTCGTGTCGTATTGGTTCCGCACCTTCTATCTCTGGTAACTCTGGTAACTGGTTCTAAGGCGAGTAACATAGAAAATACTCTCAACGCGGGATGGTAAAAATTAAATGTAGCAAAATAGAAGTCTTGTATGTATGGCATACATTAAGAACTGAGTATTTTATTCAACCAGGAATACGAGGTAGTTGGGTAGAGAACAGACCACGTTATGTACACTGATCTTTATGCTACAAACTTGATACATCTATGTGGCCGATTTTTATGGACTGTGGGAGTTACTGAGAGCAAAGCAAAACAAGTCTTACCTGAAGGAGATGTTGAAAACAAGACTCGTCGAGTGAAGATGACCCAGTAAAGTTCAGAGTATCATTGGCATATTTGCCAAGCCAGTAGACAGTGAGACAGACCTAAACACATTCATGTCAGACTGTTATCACATGCATTTCAAGTGGACTTTTAATTAAAAATATAGATGTATGTCTCCTCTCTGGTTATAATAAATACTTTGGTACCTTAGTGTGTGCGTTTACAAGAAAAAGTTAACATATTTATGATAAAGTACATCATGTAGCTTTCAGGCCTTAATTTACGCGCCTGCGATTAAAACTGTCTAAAAATGGTTGCTATGGTTTCATTTTCAACGAATCCGTAAAGAGCGACTCGGCCACCAAACAAAGGATGAAAATGCAAACAAAACATGGTGGTGAGAAATTCAACGCTAACATAAGCAAATAGCGATTTTCAAGGGTCTTTTCTAAAACATAAAGAAGGTTTGAGTTCAAGATTGAAAATTTGGTGGAACGGTTCGCAACTATCGCATGAATTCCCCCCCAAAATTAGATAAAAACCTAGAAAAAGCGAACGCAAGACACGTCATAACCCAGGAACGCCGAGTCCCAAGCGCCCGAGAGTTAGCGGGGGAGTGTAACAGTCAGAACTCGCATTTTTACAATAACTTAAGCTTACGTCGTTGGATTAAAACCAGCAAAACTTACTCGGAAACTGTAAAAATGCCTTTCTAAGTTAAAATGAATAAAACTCAGAGCGGCAACGCATCTTACAATCGTTGTTATTATCGAGGTAACGGTGCGAATAATTGAATCGTAATAATTTCAAATAGGCATTTATTTAAAACAAAAGACAAAAAAAGAATTTATAGCTAAAACAAAGTTAATGCAACACGAAAATAGAACAAGCCGTCTGTTACCTAGATAGTAACCTCTTTTACCTCGGCGGCACTACATCTATGATCTATTTCTAAACGACCGAATCGAAGTTACTCGTAACTTTGCCAGTGAACCTTGAAAATAAGTACAACCTCGTAAAACTTCGCAACTATTTTTGAACACCGCTCCTCGAGTCCAAAATTCAATTGCTTAAAAACCTCAAAAATATCGAAGAAATCTAGCAATCGTGTTGAGCCTCATATAGAATAGTATAAGTAGTCGATAAAGAGCGATAGCAGAGTTTATACTCTCGCTCTACCTTGCGTGTACATAAAGACTAGTCACTTAGATAGACTAACAGATGGCTGCTTACCTTGGCAAGTCGTCTTTGAGATTCTTTGGCCCGTTCAAGTCTGTCACAGATTAACAGAAGATGTACCAGTTCAATAATTATACAACATATAATTTAGGGATACCAGCTAGACTTCTTAATAAAAGCATACAATGGCTACCTTAACTCATTCAGTCTCAGACTCCTCGCCAATCTATCTCAAGCGTGACTAATAGCCTATCGATGGCACTATATTTAACCATTAGCTGTCGCACAACACCAATAAGGGTCAGTTTTTTTAACACCAACTTGGAGAATGAATCGTTAGTCTGTGTCTTGAAGGATGAACATTTCTTGTCAATTAGATATAACAAGTTCCTTCCAACACCTGCTACACTTAGATGTATTATTCATGCCTTGTTATTGATTGTATGAATACAGAATATAATATACTTTCAGTCAATCTTTACGTATTCCACAATAGATACGATGCTAAACTATCAAAGCCGTAAAAATATTTACTTTTATTTATAACCCCTTACTATCGACAAAGCTTCAACTAAATGAGCCTTTTTTTCTACTCCACTGACTTCTTTTACTTGTCTCGTAACATTCGTCGCGTGGTACAAATATTCCCGACATGCAATAGGGCAATGACAAGAAAGGTATATTTAGTAACCGAGTCTATAACCTAAAACCTATAACCTATTTCCACGTTAATAATGGGAAGCCACCGTGGTTATTGTTACAGGCACTAAACTAGTCTATTGTTCCTCAACAGTAATCACTACGGGTGCTCTCTTAAGATTGCAGTTTTGTGCGAAGGGGACGACTTACTCACTTACGTTTGAAGCCCCCTATACTACCCTGCTTTAACACTGGTTCAAAGGCTGTCCTTGCTCCAGTGCTTCTCGGCCAACCATCCTTGCGAACTAGAGCGAGGGCAGCACCCAAGAAAACCCAGACTCCCTATCAACAAACGGACTGGTATCAACTTACACACTCTGTCCTCGTTTAACTGGCACCTCTTGTAGGTCTGTTACATCAAACAACTGAGATTTATCAAAGCCCAACGTCTCACAGGCCCTTTGGAACAACTTAATGTTATCCTGAAATAAGAAAAGTAACCATTCAGTACTGATGTGATGACAAAACTGGGCCACATTAAGCCTGGTGTTTGTACTTACTGTGCTCGCATAAGCTGTAGAAGAACGATTTATTCGTCCGATCGACATACTAGCCACATTAACAACAAGCCTGTGGAGTTAGTTATAATAGTACACCAGTATTAGTTTATTATTAGTATCAGTATTAATGACAAACGGTGATAGATATAGGCTAATTAAAAACCAATTAATATCGTCAGCTGAATGGCCCAATCAGAATCCATGATCAACTCTGCAAGGATCTTTTTACTTTTGTAAAGCTCGATTACAAGAAGCAATTTTCTCTGCAGCTTGCAACATTAGTTGCATGGAGCATTGCGTGTAACCTACAGCGCAATTCGAAAAAATGTCGCGAGAAAAATTGGAGCAATGGATGCCAAAAGTAGAATTCTGTTGTTTCTACTTTTGGCAACGATTGAGTCTCCTCTACGTTGCACGTAGCAACACGAGTTGCAAAGTAAATGGTCCGTCACAACGCAAACGTCCTGTCAAACCTTTTTCTGTAGTGGAAGATCCTCAAAACTTCCTTACTTAATTCCTTCCTTTCTTCTTTCCTTTCTTCCTTCCTTCCTTCTTTCTTTCCTTCCTTCCTTTCTTCCTTTCCTTTCTTTCTTTCTTCCTTCCTTTCTTCCTTTCTTTCTTCCTTCCTTTCTTCCTTTCTTCCTTTCTTCCTTTCTTCCTTCCTTTCTTCTTTCCTTCCTTCCTTCCTTTTACTCAGTTCATATTGTGCATTAACATAATTAATTTTTTAGCTAGTTATCTCTTCTTAACACTTATGTACGATATTCACCTCACACGGTCTGTGATATAATAATGTCATTTTATCTGCCTTTGCGGGACGCCGTCACAATAAACCTAACATCGATTTAACCTTTTGACTCGCGAGTATTTTGTAGAAAAACATCGATCTACTACAATAAACACTCAGGCATGACAGATAAGTTAAGCAATTGGTTCAGTTTTATTATATGAAAACTCTAATAATGACAACGCGAAGTTCGCCAAAATGCAAGTAAAATGTTTTGAACTATAGGTGTCCACTGTAAACAGAAGTACTAAAGTCTAGGCCACTACTAATAACCATAGAATGAGGGCTACCGACATGAGATATTGCGTTCTACGGATTAATTATGTCCTCAGGAATGACTGGAATTCATTCCTAAGATATTCCATCGCTTGTTGTGACATGATGACGAGGATATGTGCTATATTTGCAATGCTGTAGAGCTGCATTTTTAAGACATCAGATTGATGAATTCAACGTCATATCTATATAAAAAGAAATCTATCATATATCTAAAAGCATATTATTATTGGAGCGTGACTCACTGTAATTATTTCATTTTTTGAGATCGAGAAGCCAAAAAATAGGCTCATAAATCAAATCAGGAAAACATGTCAGCCTTAATACTTTAAAATGAGAATGATGAGTCATAAGTGTAGTAACTAGTGGGGTTTTCTATTGTATGTATTAATATCAAATTAACTTTTTTTACAACTTTTTGAAAATGACAGGATTATAAGTGTTTTCTTATGCAAATCAATATGAAAATAAAATAGCATCTTAAAAATCCTTCAATATTAACATAGAAAATACAAAATGCTATCTATTTTTCTCTCTATTCTTTAAAAGTACAGCACAGTTTCATTTCAAATGATTCTATACAGTTTTCCCAACTTCTCGGTCAGTAGTCGTTCTGACTCAGCTGGAAGTGTTTATTCTTAGTCCTAGGCGTTTTACGAAGTTCCGCATTTCTTAACTAATCCATGTTTGACTCTGAACGACATAATAGACTCTAAATGCAAACAATTATAAAAAATCTAGACAATAAAATCAAGAAATATCAATAGCCTTCAATAGCCCAAACCGCCTGAATATATTCATCCACTGTAAATTGACTTAGCTAATAAATATAAAAACATTGAATTATGTTTGCAAACAAAGATATATCTTAATTAACATTTTACCGTCACTCTAAAATCATTCGATAAGTTAAATCCCCGAGTTAGGAATATGGAATCAAAATGGATAAATACTGATTAAATTTTCTTCCAGTTTATAGATGATACAGAATACGAGGGTCGCGAGGTAGTGTTTCGCGTCAAGTGGATTGATCAAATTTCTTATTTGTGTAGTCACGAACTTTACAATATCTCAACGTAAATTTATTTTAAATATATTCGTGAGGTAGGCAAAGATAGAAAAAGCATTCAAGGTTGAAATATATTGAGAGTTATTGCTATATTGAAGCAGTTAGAAGAAACGAGAAAAGTGTAGCAGTTATCGATGTCATTCGAAAAGAATGCGATGAATAAAACCTCGACTCGATTTACAGCCGTCAACCAACCAAAACCAGAGCGACTGTTTGACGGAAAAAAAGTATATGAATTCTGTAAAGAAAGAAATTGGCTAATAAGGCACCTGAACTATTAAAATTATAGACTAAACTGTCATTGTTGAATAGTAAATCAAAAACCAAAACATCCACCAGGCATTATTATAGCAAGAGGCAAGAGTCAACGATAGTCTGCACAGTTGTGGTTTAGAGGATATTTATAAGCTCTTCTACGCAAATTTACTATGCTAATTGTATTTTTATTACGCTGAATATTCTAAAAACACACACAATGTATATAAATATATCAAACAAACATGGCCGCGTCACACTTACTCGCAGAGTAAAACACCGTCAACTAGAGATTCACGAAAGTCACTGTGCTTGAATGGCGTGAACGTTATTCTCTGCAATAAAAACAAAATATAAAACTTTCCGAAAACTGTAAGAAACTATCAATAATGAAGCCCAAAGCCCGGGTTTAAACATACCTCGATCCACCTTCGAGCTTCCATCAAACCCTGATCCATGTTAATCAACTTTGTGTATTCTTGTCTTAAATTCTTACTAGTTTTCCTGTCTTTCCTGCCAGAAAAATCATCCCTGACAGCCGCYATGACTGGTATATATAGTTTTAACCAGAGATTTAAGACTGCTGACTTAGCTGGTGTTGTATAGTTGCTGGTAATAAATCGTAATCTATGCAAACGAGTATTTCATTGTGTAAAGTTCACGGTAGAGTTATGTGCGTCTATATACATACAGAATGCAGTACTCGAATTCTAATGAGCTTTATGGATCACTGATCAGGGCCCACGATAATTCTTTTGATCAGTTTTTCCTCGTCACAGGAGTCAATGCACGCTGCTTGCCCAGTCTTTAGAAACAATGACAACTATGAATCTTACTTGAAGCTTAAAGATAACCTTAGATAACACTAAACACCCCAAATATCATATTTATGACCACAGGTATCCCAAAACAAGTAAATGAGATTTAGCGTTGATAATAAAACACATCTTTATTACTATCATACTTATTATGATTATTTTACTTGTTTTACTGATATGAAAACTCAAAAACAAACAACCAACAAAACGAGTCAAACCACTACGACCAAAAGGTTAATAGGAGATTCAAAATGCACATAGTAGCACCATATGACGTCATAATGGATGAACCTGGGGGAAAAGAAAATGACGTCATTCACATTACATATTTCGGGTTGTATAGCATAATTTTTATGCTCTTACCACTAAATTCGGCCTTAAATCCTTTGTAAACAGTGAAATCATTTCTGTCACTAACGAAACGAACCCACATTTGGTTGGATGGAGAAATGACATCCTGAGGAATGGCTTCACCACAGAACCTGCCCAGAATTTCTCCATAATTGTTCCAGACTCCCTCACGAATTTCTACGTAATCATTGGCGCAGTCTCCATCGTTGTTCGTCGTATTTTCCAGCTCAAATGACGTGAATTTTAGATGAACTTTTTTTCCATCAGGCACAGCGATGTGCCAAGTACAGCGGTGCCCGGGTGGGTAAAGTAAAGGGTGTTTAGGACTAGCAAATCTTCCACTTGTATCATTCAGATAACTTTGACAGTCTCCTAAATAAGAAGAAAGAAATTTAAATGTATTTGATGATTCAGTTCGTCGCCCTGTTTACTTGATGAGGGGCTATAGTAGTTAATACTCTTTACGGTGGGTGGGAAAGTGGGGTTAATGGGGTACGTCAAGGAAGTCGAAGAATCGTCCATGTTACTTACGATCATCACTTTGAGCAGCTAGTCTGATTTCACCATGGAAACCTTTAAATTCTGAGCTGCCATCAGTTCTAAACTTCAGCCATAGATTTCTATTCCTGTCATATGCAAGCTTACTGTTACCGATTTTTTCTTTGTAAGACAAAGACTTAATGTAGTTATGTGATAGAACAGAGCAGTATCCACTTGTTATCCAATGCACGTCATAAAAGCTTGAGCTTTCTTGTAAATAATCCTTGTCACAGTAATGAGAAGGCTCGATTTGGAATTCGTCTAAAATCAGGTAAATTCTGTAATCATCTGGTCCAGTAATATTCCAGATACAGGTAGTGTTGGGAGGGTAAGTGTCTGGAAAACCTGGAGATTGTACAATGTACCTCCACCCTGGCTTGAGAGATGCCGTTACATTAACAGGATAGTCAGGACAGGCTGAAAAAGGAACATCGAAAAAATGGAGTGTGAGACAGACAGACAGACAGACAGACATATTTTATTTGGCGTTTTGTACAAAGTTGCACATCAACTTAGATCCAAATAAGTTACGAATATGTACGTATGTTTATGTATGTGCATAATATCTATATTCACATATTC